AGTGTATACTTTTTGAGTTATTCGGAATTTAATTTTACCATCCCTCATAATTTTTTTCCAGCTTCTTTTTGTTGAAGTATGTTATATGGATAAATTTAAAGGGTGTCGAGAAAATGACTTTAGCAAAGTTTTTTTGAAATCGGTACATTCGTTTAGGAGCTACGTCTATAGCAATGCAGGTTTTTCTGCATTTTTATTTTTTTCTCCTTTATTAACTTATCGCATTCTTTCAAAAGTTATATTTAGCATTTTTTTCGTAACTCTGAATAATGTGAAATAATTAACTTTTTAAAATAAACCATATTAAAGGTACTTTAGAGGAAGACGTAGATGAACATTGGACATTTAAGCCCTGTAATGTGACATCAACGGGTATAAGACCTAAATGATATTAAAGACCACTTAATTATACAATGATGCACACAGTTTAATCAAAATCGTTTGAGCCGTTTTTAAGAAAATTGAAAAAATGTCTTTCAGCGTTCATTTAAAGTGGCACTTCCGGTAAGCCGATTTTAAGAAAAAGGTAGCAGCGACATCTAAGGCATATATAAATCTTAAATATGATATTTCACTTTCATGCGACTTTTCGTTTTTGAGTTAGACTGTTAACACACACACACCATTTTGCGACACTCGGTTATTTGAACTCAGGAGACCTTAAAACATGCATTTCCGTTGAAAACTCAGATTCAAAAATTTTCACGATCGCAATATTTACCTTTCCTATATATTGTATATATGAGTAAGTAAAAACAAAAAAATACAGCTATTTATTAATATTAAATAAATATTAAATCATGTAATATTTTTGAAATAGAAAAAAATTGCGTTTCGATAAACAAGAAACATAAAATCGATTCATAAAATGTCACCTTTTGAACTTACTGAATAAATTATAGCTCAATGGACGTCACGGGCCCATCATATTAATTACACACAAACTTTCGACTTTAACCGATCTCGCTCTACATTTTAATAAATAATGCAATTCTCGGAAATTAAGAATAAGATAAAGAGCATATTAACAAGTGAATATTATCCTAAATAATACGCACTAAGAAATAACGAATTTTCTTATTCAATTTGATGTCTTCGTAATTAGTAACATTTTTACGATTAAAATTTAAAGCTGAAGAATTAGCGATTAATAAGTTTAAAAACGGTCTAATGGATTTCCGATATCATCGATGAAGTCATCACTGAGTCTAGATACTGTCCCTTACAAACTTTGTTATTACTGTTCTAGAGGCGTCAGTGATAACATGCAGATATGGTCTTTAATTGTGATTAATATTTTTTTTTCTTAGTAGAGAAAACATTGGATTAAAGAGATACGAAAAGGTTAAGAGATAAGGCTGATTTAATATCATCATATTGCAGTAAAGGATTTAACAAATATAAATATTTCTTGGCATTAGTAGTGTTGCCCAAATGCGAGACCGAAACGAGTCTTGGTCTTGCAAACTCAGTCTTGGTCATGGTCTTGGTCTTGCGCAAGAGTCTCGCAACAGCCTTGCATTTACTTATTAGTTTATTAATATAGAGATATTACTGTAATTTTTCAAATAAGAGAAACCTAACTAAGCCTGAATGAAAAATTAGAGGAGTTAAATTCGAAAGTATATTGGTTATACCAATTATTAACATATAGTAACTAAGATTGTCAAGTATTAGTAACTATTTTGCCTTAAATTTTATTTTAAAAATTGATTTTTTTTAGCAGTCCTGGTCTTGGTCTTGCAACAGTCAGGCGGCCTTGGTCTTGGTCTTGCAAAGTGCCAAGACCAAGACCTATTTTGGGCAACACTAGGCATTAGACATTTGGCGCCCCATATCTTCATTTCCTCCCTAAAAAAATTAAATTATTTCTTAAGCTGTTTAAATTAAGCAATATTTAAATTATAATTTATTCAATATGTTCCTAATTCAGTAGATTGCAATTAATTATTCTTTAAAAATAAATAATAAATTAAAAAATAAATATGCTCTATATTTATTTTTAATGAAGAGAAGAATAGTTGGGATGGTCAGTCAAAAAGGATGGCAAAAATAAATGATAATATTTATTTTTTACATATGCCGACGTTTCGACCTGAAGTTCAGGCCTTCATCAGGACTGACTCCTTAAGTGTTGCAGGGAGAAATTAATCAAGATTTCTCCCTGCAACACTTAAGGAGACAGTCCTGATGAAGGCCTGAACTTCAGGTCGAAACGTCAGCATATGTAAAAAATAAATATTACCATTTATTTTTGCCTTCCTTTTTGACTGACCACCCCAACTATTCTTCTCTTCATTATCCACGACAGTCAACCAATTACCAATTATATATTTATTTTTAATTTCCTCAAAAAGTGGTGCTACCAAAAACAAGTTGCTTCCATACTGTTTATGAAGAAAAGAATAATGTAAATTAACATAAATATTTTGTAACAATTGCACAATTAATGGCCAATAATAACATAACAAAATGTGTCTCAGATATTCACGAAATGGAGTACTATGATATTAATCATTAAATAGTTATATTGAATATTGAATAGTTGACCGTTGCATTATAAAGGAAGGAAATGGTCCGGGGTGGCGGTCATAAATAGGCTAAATAGTGACAAAACTATTTTATTAAAAGCCAATGTGGCTTTTAAACTATTTAATAAAATATTTTTGCCACTATTTAGCCTATTTATGACCGCCACCCCAGACCATCCCCTTCCTATAAATAGTTAAAATAAGCAGAATTTCGGAGCTTAAAAAATATATTAAAAAGTTCGAAGAACTTGTAAGTTAAAACAAAGTATTTAAATAACCAAAGATAAAAAGTAGTGTTTAATATTTAATTCATAAACAAATAAGTTTTCTATTAGTTGGATTAGAACTGGGGTGAAAAAGTAGTAGGAACTTACTCCATAAACTAAAAGGACTGCAAATTTAGAGCGAATTTTTATTTTTAATTTAATTCAAAATAACCAGGTTACATAGCCCAAACTGCCTAATATTCTTCCTACGAATCAAGAAAGCCAGCGGGTATGATTTTTATTTTTGTGTATTATTTATTGGAAATATAGTGTTAATGAGGTCTCTGAACACTATTATAAATGTCCTTAATTGTGAAGGATAGTAATATTTTTCAATAGATAAAAAATACTTGTCTCTGCTTTTTGATTATTTTTGATTAAATCTCCTAAATAACAAGAAGGCTTTGTGTAATTTTTATGAGACTAATATTATAATGAGGAAGGAAAAGAGGGAAAGATATATATATATATTTTTTTTTTTTTTTTTTTTGATCGGTATGCTGTGTGTAAATCCTATGTAGTAGGGCAACAGTACTTTCAATAAAGTATTTCTCTCTCTTCAGAAATTATTAATTATGATTTTTTGTGTTTTTCCATAATCATCTACGACTTTGTATATTAGATATTATTTTTTCTTAAATCATTAGTTTTCCAACAATATATTATACTTTTACCTTCTGACTATTTTTTTCAGGAAATTAATTTTCAAAGTAAACAAATATGTTTATTTTTTGTATTCTTTAGTCAATTCTTTCATAGTTTATATTGAGTTTTTTTTTAATACTCTTAACAACGAGAGACTGTTAATTATTAAAATAAACCAAATTAAAAGTACTTCAGAGGAGAAGAAAAATTGGCATTCTACATTTAAGTTAACTTACATCAATGGGGATAAGGCCTATTTTATATTAAAGACTATTTAATTGTTAAAGCAGTTTTTGAGAAAACTGTAAAAAGTTTAGAATGATATTTGTAGTAATTTTGAATTACTTTAATTCTGTATGACATAAATATTTCTCATATTTTCTGTGTATATTTAAAATTATCAGATTTCTGTCCTCTCCTTTCCATAATCAAAACCCGACGCAGGAAAAATCAGGACTTTTTGCCAGTTATTAATGGAAAAGTAATGTATGGTTTCAGAGCTTTACATTTTATTTTTGAATTTCAGGTTTCAACAGGTGTATCCAAAAAGAGATTGAATGCGAGGTTATAGAGGGTAGATTTTAACGGGGTTTCTGAATTTTCGGAGAAAACTCTATTTTTGTGGGCTTCCAATTGGGTGGAACTTGTAAAACGATGGAACATATCACAGCAAGTATAATTGTAAATTACTATAACTTTTTTAATTCTAATTTCATTGGCATTTTTTTTTAGGAGAGAAGAGCAATAAAATGTTTTGGAAATGGGCCATATACCATAGATTAGTGTTGCCCAAATGAGAGACCGAAACGAGTCTTGGTCTTGCAAACTCAGTCTTGGTCATGGTCTTGATCTTGCGCAAGAGTCTTGCAGTTAATTATAAGCTTATTACTAATAGAGCTTATTACTGTAATTTTTTAGATAGGAGAAACCTAAGTAAGCCCGAATGAAAAATTAGTTGAGTTAATTGCAAAAGTATATTGGTTATACCAATTATTAACGTATAGTAACTAAGATTGTCAAGTATTAATAACTTATTTAAAAAATCGATTATTTTTACCAGTCCTGGTCTTGAAACAGTTAGGTGGCCTTGATCTTGGTCTTGCAAAGTACAAGACCAAGACCGATTTTGGGCAACACTACCATAGATCTTGGAGGGGATGGGCACCACTTTCTTAGTTTTTACTGTATTGCAATGAAAGTACTTAAAATATGAGATTACTGCTCAAGGTAGGGTACAGGTAAAAGTTGCGTTATGCGCACATTGTACCAGATTTTCACACATAATTTAAACTCCGTGAACTTTTTTTTTTGTCCATCTCTCTCCTCATAATCAAATGCCTAGGAATATGTGGGATATTTAATAATTTTTTTGACCTAGTATCACCCAAAAAAAAGCCTTATTGAATTCTGGGATCACACCCAAGTAGTATTGAAAGAACTCAGAGGTAAATCATCGATGGCACCTTTTCGCATAGCTTTCGGCCGGATCCAATGCCATCGATGATTACAGCGCTGACTTTCGAAACTTGCACTAAGCTATTGTTACCAATTGACTTACGTAGAGGTGAAAACTCCACTTAGTGAGCGCTCCATCTCTCCGCTTCCTTTCACTGCACTGATTCTTCTTGCAGTTCCTTATCGCCCCACTATCCGACCAGTAAGGCGATATTTTTATCAAATCACGTAATCCATTGTTTGTTTGGTTTTTATTTCCATTCCGAAAATAACTCGGATGTTTAAATGTTCTCTTCAAACTGATCATTTAATCACAAATTTACTAAGAAGGCTTTGAAGAAAAAAATCTAGCTCCTTAAAATTTTAAAGCAAATTTAAATTAAATTAAAGCAAAAAAATACCTTCACAAACGTACATAGGTAAATTGCAGCAGGAAAAAATTGATATGTTGAAGAATTAAAATATGTTCATATTATATATTTTCCAACTATTTGGAAGTTTATTTAAATGGCAAATGATCAGATATATATATATATATATATATATATATATATATATATATATATATATATATATATATTTTTTTTTTTTTTTTTTTTTTTTTTTTTTTTTTTCCTTCTCCTAAGTTCACTTAGGGAACAAATGTAAATCATTTATTTACAGTAGTTTTTATTTTTATTTTGGTTTATTGTTTTCAATAATCAACCATTATGATCAACTAAAAAATTTAAAAACAACCCCCTGCGTAGAATTCGAAAAACGAATATAAATTTTTTTGTCCGTCCGCCGTCCGCGCATTTTCTCCGAAACTACTGGACCGATTTTTTTCCAATTTGAATATAATATCAGAGGTCACCCTACGATGATCCTCCTTCATCGACCTTTACTTCCAAAATGGCGGCCGAAAAACCTGTGTTGCTATAGACTTTAGCTCCTTAACGAATGTACCGATTTCAATGAAGCTTCGCTAAAGTCCTTTTCTTGACGTCCTTTAAATTTATCTATACAACGTACTTAAACGAAAAGAAGCTGGGAAAAAAGTTACGAGGGAAGGTAAAATTTAATTCCAAATAACTCAAAAAGTATACACTTTTTGTCGATATTGTATAGCTTTTTAAAAAATTACAGAATTTCCTAAAAAAAAAAAAAAAAAAAAAAAAATCGTTAAAATCGGACAATTAGGAGCAAATATATGGTCTCCAGTTTTTTTTAATATGTTTTACGCCAGATGTTATATCTTTTGTTTGGTTTTTAAATTTTGAATATGTTACTGAAGTAATTCTATTTTTATTAAATTATTCCTAATGATTAAAAAAAAAAGTTTAGTACAAAAATTGGAATCACCATTTAATTATTACTTTCCTACTATAATAGGTAAGGAAATTATTGCAATCGGGTCAAATTTCCGACATACGGTTTTCGACGGATCTATACGTTTCACAGCCCTCTGAGTCCGAAAAACAGATTTTTAGCCATGTCTGTCTGTCTGTGCCAAGATTTTCTTGGGAACTACTGAACCGATTTTGTTGCTCCTTTTTTTATTTTGTAGGGTTTTGACTACCGATGCCTTCGACTTTCGGTGCTCCATGCGCAATAGCTTGCGCGCAATAAATGAAAAACATGTTTTTCTATAGACTGTGGCGCAAAAACGGCTCTAAAAACTATTAACGAAGTTACAGCTATTCAATTTTCAATGTAAGATTACGGTATCATATCCTGGTGTCAGAAAGGGGTGAATGAGAGAATAAAGATGACTAAGTGAAAGTAAGGAATTCTGTTGCCCGCATCACACAATCTTCACTATTTCCTATACTTTTAACAGACATTACTGTTTGTCAATACTAAGCTATGCCAAAAAGCTTTTGATCAGCAATATTAGGAAGTATTGACATTTTCACACTGATCTACCTTAAGCCGGTTTACATTGCTTTAGTTTATCAATTAGACCGTACTCAAATCTTATGTTTGATCGATTTTCAGGAAAACTTATCTAGTTCAATTCTTTTTTGTTTCTTCATGAACATATGTAAAGATATAAAAACTTTTTGAAATAGGTAGGAAAGTCGTGTGAGTGGACACACCAGATTTTTTTTCTTTGTAACTAGGATGGTAATGTTACTTTAGATGTATAGTTGTTTAGAAATAATAAACCATTGTGAAATAATTTGCAGCGTTTTTTTTTTTTTTTATATTCTATCACTGCAATGCTTTGCCTATAAAATTTATTTAGCGTTCCTTTCTGATTTCATTTAGTGATTATTATGTTTTGGTTTTAGCTACAATATTGTAGTATTGTAACCCTATTACCCATCTGTTTTCGTTAAGATATCCTAAGAGCTATGTATATAGTTATTTTATTGCTTGTATTTTAGTAATACCGTATTGTAATTTGTTCTTTTGATCAGATTTATTGTTAATTTATATGAACAATATTGTTATGCTTAAGGGACCTAGTCCCAGAATAAACATGAATTTTCTATTTCTCTCTCTCTCTCTCTCTCTCTCTCTCTCTATATATATATATATATATATATATATATATATATATATATATATATATATATATATATCTTTTGGCTAACCTTCATCAGACATTCATACTTGGTGGGTTCTGATATAGAGTATAGTTGATAACAAGAACGGTTTCATTCAAAGACTTACAGAGAAACATTAATGGCCCATTAAATCGATAATGGAAGCCAAGTTTTAATGGCCTCTATAATGGAATCTGTCGAGCAAGTTTCCAACCTAATATCTTCTTCTTCTCTATTGTAGTATCTATTATTGTAGCCGGAAGAAGTACACATACTTTCCCCTCTCTCAAAAAAAATATATTTATCACAGATAAATACAATAAAAAGTTGAACAATATAGTCTAAGAATACATTATATATAAATAACGGATAAGTTTTGTTTTAAGTAATTTCCAATGTGAACCTTAGTTGAATAATTATCAGAAAATACGCAAAACTGTTTTATTATCAAATTGTAAAATATCAAAAATTATATTTTTTAAATAAATAATTTTATGTGCTTGACGGAGACACTCAATAAAATTAGAATCGGTAATAATCTGTCCAAAAAATTGAGATTCGTTCGGGTTTAAAACAGGGGGATTCCCTTTCGCCTGTCCTTTTCAATTTGGTATTAGAACATGCCATTAGGGAGGTAATGCGAACCGAGAAAGGGTTGGATCTGGGCGGGACAACATCCGTGCTGGGCTATGCTGATGATCTGGTACTGTTAAGCGAAGACGTTGAAACTATAAAACTAAATACGACAACGTTAATGAAAGCCGGTAAAGAACTAGGACTCGAAATAAACGCGGATAAAACAAAATATATGATTATCTGCAAAAATGGCGATACTACTGGTGATATCGATATAGATGGTAATATAGAGATATTACTATCTCTATACAGGTAGAGAAATTTAGGTATCTAGGTTCTACGATAACTAGAAAAAACGAAATTGAAGAAGAGATTAAGGTTATACTGAAGGCGGGAAATGCTTGTTATTTTTCTGTGACAAAACTACTTAGTTCGCGTCTCTTGTCCCGGAACTTAAAAATTAGAATCTATAAAACAATTATCCTGCCTACAGTTCTTTATGGATGCAAAACTTGGCCGCTTACATTAAGGGATGAGCAGCATCTTAAAGTTTTTGAAAATAAAGTATTGCGTAGAATACTCGGACCGAAGAAGGATGAGTTAACCGGAGAGTTCAGACGGTTACACAACGCCGAATTGCGTGAACTGTATCCCGGTAATATAATTGAGATAATTTCATCGCGGCGAATCAAATGGGCTTGTAAAGTTGTTGGGCTTAGTAACGAGAGAATTCCTAAAAGGTTAATATTTGCTGTGCCGAATGGTAAGCGTCCGAGGGGTAGACCGAAGCGAAGGTGGGAAGATTGCATTAAAGCCGATCTGAAGGGACTCTGTTTGGACGGCGAACGGTGGAGAGAGGTGTGTAATAAGCGATTGGTGGTGTCGGCATCGAACCTTCGGGTTCGCTAAGTCGTTTATGATATTTATTTGTATATCAAACAAATATAAAAAAAAATATTTAATATTGTATATAAAAAAATAATTAATTGTACTACTTATTCCCGAAAAACAGCGATTATTTTTATAGTAATTAAAAAGATTGAGCCTTAAATAGAAACACTTTTAGAACAAATCGAACTTCAAAGTTCGATTTGGAACAAAATGGTATGTTCAGGAAAGAGGTTATTAAAATGATATTACAAAAAACTATCTTTTTGTTCATATAATAACAATGGTACAGTAAAATTAATTTATTTTGCAACAAAAAAAGGTTATATTTGAAATCGATTGTGATAGTGATTGGTGATAACGTATAGGTTCTCCAAAGTATTGTGTTTTGACTTGTGACTGGTGTATATATACTTATTTTGTTATTGTTCGTGTTCTAGTGTTTTCCATTTTATTGTTCATTATGTTTTCTTGTTCTTTTTTTTGAGTTTTCCTTTGTAAATAAGTTTTTAGTTTTAAGTAAGGTTAAGTGGAACTACGAGTTCGTCATCTTCTCGTAGTTGAAGACTTTCTGGACTGTAATCGTTCCTACGAGAGCTAAAACTTATATCAGAGAACTTGTATACAAGTTTCATAGGACAATAATAGAAAGGTAACCTTCATTTAATAAACGTAGCTAGTTAACCTCTAAACTGTAGTGTACTATAAATTGAAATCATTTTTGTAGTGTTTAGTACTTTCTTACAGTATGGTTGACCCAATTGTAATTGATATGGAAGAGGAGAGTTCCCAAAAGGTTTCCAAGCGAAATGCCAAACGGGCAAGAAAGGGTTCTCTTGATTTGGAGGCAAATTCGGAGGAGGCTGCAGCTAAAAGTTTACTACAATCGGCCTTAAAAATCCAGGAGAATCTCAGGGTATATGTTCAACGGGCAGATAATGGGTTGAATATCAAGGTACAAAATTATATAAATAAAAAAATTCTAACCTTGATAGATATCATTGAAACACTAGATGACAAAAGTAAAAAGCCACACACAAATGAAGACGTTTCTGAGCTCATCCAAAAAGCGGTTCATGAGTCACTTACGACTCCCAGTATTCATGAGATGATTGCTCGACTTGTGATAGAAAAAACGGTGCCCAAAATTATTGAGGGACTTAC